TATGAAAGGGGGACTCAGAGACCTGTCAGAAAAATTACAAAATTAGAGCTGAGCACTGCATTCAGCAAATAGATGATACAGAGATGGCAGAAGTAAGTAGTGCTGGGAGCTAGGTTAAGATCGCGCACACTGCAATTTTCAGTAACAGGAAAAAATCACTTTGGATACTTTTTATATATATCTGCATTTTCTCTTAGGTCTCGCTACTGGTAAACACATAAGTCAGCGCCTCTCTTCTTTACCTCTTCAGTCTTTCCAGGACTGCTTCACTGTAAGCATAATAAAAAAAAAATAAAAGAGTAATACCCTGCTGATACCTATTTCGTGATTCTTTTAATCCTGAAAATTGCTTTCTCCTCCATTCTTTCAGCCTCACTAATTGAAATGCTCCAGGGAACAGTCCTTGTGGAAATAAGAAAGAGCACCTAAATTGCACTTACATTGCATGTCAAAACAAACATTAGATGCTTAAGACAACAAAAATAGCACTGGGACTCTAAGAAAATACACTGATTTTTGCTATCCATGCTACTATCAAAATACATATAGCAGATTCATCATCCCACTGAAGAACTGTAGCTGTAGAACACAGTTTTTGCACTGGAACTCCAGTAACCAAGAAAAAGACCAATTGGTATTCTATACTCCCTCAAAAGAAAACACCCTTGGCTCATGGCATTTCATCCTGAACGAACAGGTTTATACACATGCAACTGCACTGAAACAAACCTGATGGCAGCAAATTGCACAGTGAAACTGGAGGTACTTCAAATGCCGAACCATAAAGCTCTCTAGGACTGGAACAGAGAATCAAGATGGCATGCTTACAAAAACAGCACAAAATAGGTGGCTCAGAAAGAATGGTCACAGTATTTGTGGAAAGGGTTTGAAATTACAGAAAGGGAAAGAGTCTATGAAAGCCCTGAAGTCACAAGAGGAAGAAAAAGGTACATTTCCAGATGGGAAATATACTAGAGAAAGAATAAACAAAGAAATATTAATTGTGGCACTGAAGAAAAACAGAATCAAACAAAAACAGAAACAAATCAAAATGTTCTGGGGAAGAAAAAAAAAACCCAAAACAAATGTCAAAATCCCACAACTTTATATGCAAGTTATAGTGAACATTCATACACAGTGTGTTGTATAGCTATACACTTAAAGACCTATCTTATGTAACTTATTCTTTGTCAAGAATAAGTGCAGAACTAAAGAAATGTGTTCCTTTAAGGAATAAATTCACTATAAAGGTCTTCCTAAAAATAGAAGATGGGAAAAAATATAATTGCTTCCTAAAACTAGTCCCTGGTCAAAAGGGACATACATAATCACCTGCCAGCCTTCCTGCTGAGAAAGTTTGAAGCTTTTGTACTACTTGAGTTGACTCCTACTCCTGTCAACATTATCTGACTCCAGGAGCAGGTTCTGAGGACCACGTACACAATGAGACATCATGGCACAGAACTGCAAGTGTCACAACTTGACCCTTACAATATAAAAAGGATCAGATCACTAAAACATGTAAGCATATGTCCATTTTTGTTGAAGTCTACAGGTACGTTCACATGTGAAAGACTTTGGGATGAGGAAAATCAAACAATCTACCAAAAAAAAAATCTTTAAATTCTATTGAATGAGGAGTATCCCTGCGCTTTCTGTATGTGTTACTCTTCCCTCAACTGTGTAATTCTTGGCACTTAGTAAGAAGTACCCAGCATGGTGCTGGACTGTTCCTCATAAGAGCTGATTATGCTCCCACAGCCACTTAGAGGAAGATTTAGAAGTATGAAATAAGTACCTAGACACCTACATTTTCTCTTCATCTTTTAAAGTATAAAAACATCAACTTAAAATAAAAAATACACCTGGCAAATGAAAATTAATTTATTATGCTTAAAATGATTTCAGCCACTCAATTTGCCTCCCAGTCCTATGTGCAAAAGGCCAACTACCAGCAGTGACTGCAGCACCAGCTAAAAGCACAAGATTTACACTGGCACTCTTATTAGAGCTGAGGTAATTTAAGAGGAATGTCAGCACAAATTTACTTTTCAAACTTTATTACTCTGCTTTAAGAAGAGAAAGAATGCCCGCTATTGTAATTTTTAAAATATTTACAAAATCTTTGGTATCTGGTTTTAGACGCACAGAGTTAAAACCAAAACTCTAACATCACCCTACATCACATTTCTTTCATAAGAAAACAGAACTAAAGAATAAGAATAAAAACTTTATTTTCACTAAATGTGATTTAAGAGAAATGCGATCACTCTTCACACTAGATAAAATTCAAGGCTACCATTGAATTAAAAGGAGCTACACACAGACTGCTCTGCAAGCTGTGAGCTTGTGAATCTGCCTTCCAATAGGTAACTGAGCCATTCAAACCCACTAACCTTTGAATGTGCAGGTTCCAGTCATGGAGAGGCAAAAGGGGATGAAAATCTCAAGCTAATCACATCTATGCCAGTTGCATAACTTTAATCCTGAATCAGAGGCCACATTCTCACCCTCCTGTCTGCAGACTGAACTTCCTTCTCTTCGTTTGGCAGAGAACAATGTAACCTACTTTCAAATAATCTTTATTATTTTTATCTTTTAAGAGAAGGATGAGGGAAACTGTCCTGGTGGCCATCCAGTAGTGACCTTTTCTCACAGCACAGAGATATTTCAAAAAGCACCTCTGTACCATCAAGCCTTCCAAAGTCATCTCTAACAGACATCTATTTTATCATTACAGAAACACAGGAAAGAAATTAAGAAGTTGAGCAGAATTCAGAAGCAAAAGGGAACCATGTGGGGAAAAAGCAATGTACTCTTTGGCTCTGCAAATAGCAGGCAACAGAAAAACCACTGATGTACCATGATACTTTTCCTATTGAACCAAATATGTTTTTGAATATAACTGTTTACAACAGCAACATTAAGGATCAAAACAAAAGCCCATCCTGTGCAGTCAAAAAGGAGTTCTAACAGAGGGAACCAAAAGAAGAAGCAACAATTTATTTGCTCTATCCCCTCCTGCTCTGCCTAATGCCTGCAGTTGGGAAGGCACTGTCCTCAGGTGGTGGTGCCACTCAGCCCCTGCTCTCTCAGACAAGGCTCCCAAGATGATTCCATTTTGAGGTAGACACCTGTCCACTGGCAACAAGCACGAGAGCATCAACTGCAAAATGAGGCTACCACATGGCAACATCTTTCAGTCACTACAAAACTTGCTTCCAAATTGAAACAGCTACCAAGAGGTGAAAAGCTCCCTATCACATTTCTAATCCCTCCTCTCTGCAACTTTTTTGTTTTACTTTGTAATGATTCATGTAAGTTTTCCTGGTCTTATAAAACTTGCTCCCTCTAATATGTGCCCCAAATTGCTTTGACTCTCATGCAGCAAGGATTTTTACAGTGCATGTGAGAAATATTCTGTTGCTCATTATCTATTTGAAAACACATACTTAAGAAAAAAGGTCAGATAAAAATTGGTATAATGTGGAGCTCTAGTGGTAATGAAGAAGTAAAGCAGCACGTAACACCAACCATGAAAAAGTAGACACTGACCTTTAGCAGGGAAACAGTAAGTGAAAATATGATAACAGATGGATTTAAACAAGGAAGAAGAAAGAGGGAAAGAGCTTAGCATCAAATTGAACATAATTTCAGGCTCACAGAACGCATCACTGCAAAAAAAACATGATGAGTAACTCTCTTTTCTGCGCACAAACTTGCATCCTGTAATTCAATGCAGTTAAGTGACAGAAAAAAAATAAGATCAGTTTGCTTCTGTTAGCCTTAAAGGAAAAATATACACATATATATACCACAGGAGGAAAGCAGTGTCCCTTATCAAAACTAACTGGGAGTTGAGTAATTCTATGCACTCTTTAAAACAGTCCTAGTCACATATATTGTCCTTCCCATGATAGCTGTGGCAACTCCAACACCAGCAAGTAAGTACTCTGTTCTCAGCTGTATCATCACAAAAATAGAGTAGCAACCACTGTAGGCAGCTTTAACACTGAGATTCAGCAGTCCCTTCAGACTGATGAGTTTGGCAGGAATTGTATCCTAAACAACGAAAGCTCCTTCCTTATATACAAGTACTATCTCACATCCTGCTGGCAAGTATAATCAGCTTAAGTCCTGTTGACAGTCGATATTCCACCTGTAAAGGAGATGGTTTTTCATACAGAATGAGAGGACAGCCAAAGCATCCTCTGCATCTAATGTGTCTCATCACAGAGGATGCTGGAATTCCTATATCCCCCTGTGAAACACTGGCATTATTTTCTTAATTTCTAAGATGCTAGATGAGCTTGGGCATATGTTAGAAGAAGTTTATAAAGCTAGAACAACATTGATAGTTATCAGACTATCACAAAGGAGCACAAAGACCACAGAAACACTGCAGCATGAATGTACGAACAACTGTGCAGTATTAGAAGGACCCATTTCCAAAGTCAAGTGATATCCCTGCACAAACACACAGAGTTTTGAACCTTCAGTAGGAAAAACCTGCAATTTCTTCCTAGGGAAACTGCTTTCCACCAAGACTACAGAAAAACAACACTGTAAAAGGTTCATGTATATATTAGTGCTAACTTGCAACAGACTCTCCACCTATTTCAATCCATGTTATAAATTGTTCAATATTTTTGCTAGGGGCCTTTGCTCCCAACTTCCCAAGCTGGGTACACAGTGCCTTGATTCAGTACTACCTCATTTAAGAGAGAATATATTTCATCCACTAGAGTGGATCATTAATGTCTTCATAAGTGTTCTTGTTTGGCAACATCCAGCCTAATGAGAGGTTTTTATTAGCATTAATTCCCATCTAGGGCCACAGCAAAAACCAATCAAACCAATCACTCTGGGCTTTACATCTTTCCCACCCAAGGATTGAAGGCATCCCTGGACCTGATTTAGGTCTATTTCAAAAACATGGGGTACCAAACAGCCCAGAGTTACAAGGCTCCGAGAGGAGATTTCCAAGCTGTGTCTGTTACCTGGTGGGCAGTTGCACTCTGGAGACGCTTCTCTCGCTACTCGTATTTTTGCCAAGTGCTCGTAGGATTTCTGGGGGCGAGAGAAGCAACGTGAGGGCGGGCACTTGGCGAGCGAGCTCTCCCGCCACAGGCAGCGCTCCCGACCGCGGCCGCTCGCTGGAATTTACCGCTATGCCAGAGGCTGCGCAACCAGCGGCGGCTTCTTGGCTCGGACTCGGCCTAAGGTGTCTCAGTGCCCTCACCACCCCCACACCAACAACGCCAAGCCCGGCACCGGGTGTCTCTCCCACGGCCGCCGCAAGTGAGCCCGCTCTTTCTGCCCGCTCGGCAGGCGCGGCGGAGAGGCGCAGGGACGGCGGCAAGTTAGAGACGAGAAAATCGCCTCAGCGGCGGCGCACGCAGGGCTCCCCCGCCATCCCCATCCCGCCGCCCCAGCAGCCCGGGGCGCCCCCGGCCCGCTCCTCCCCCGGCCCCGCCGCCCCCTGGGGTTGCTGGCTCACTTTCCCCGCTTCCCCCTCCACCTCCCACCCGAGCAGCTCGCCCGGCCACCCTCCTCATGGCCTCGGCCGCCTTCCGCCCCGAGCATCCCTCATGCCCCCCACACGCACACCGCACGGCAGCGGCCAACCCCGTCCCGCACACCTGGGCGAGAAGTCGCTCCACTTTCTCCTGCATCATCGCGTTCAGCTGCTCCAAGGAAAAGCCGGGCAGCGGCGGGAGCGGGGCGGCGGCAGAGAAGTCCCCACGGGCTCCTTCGATGGCCGCGACCCTGGCCTGGAGGTCGCTGGTCCGCACCCCCAGGTAGACGCAGGAGGCCGCGGCCAGCGCCGAGAGGAGCGCGGCCAGCGCGGAGCCGACCGGCCCTGCCCGCCGCGGGCAGCGGTCCCCGCCGCAGCCGGGCTTCCCGAGGCCGGGCTTCCCGTTGCCATCCCGTCCTGCGGCTCCTCGGCTCTTCCCCAGCGTGCTCGCACACCCTTCAGCTGCGGCAGCTTTGATTTCCTTTCCTCCGCCCCCCATGGAGGCAATTAGTTTACAAACAACGATAACAAAAATAACAGCAACGAAGTAGGAGAAAATAAATTAACAAAACGGCAAAACAATTATTTTAAATACCAAAAAAAAAAAAAGATAAAAAACCCGCGGTAAGTAGAAGCAAAGCCCGCACACTTTGAAGGCGAAGCGGCGGCGCTCCGCAGCCCGCACCGCACCGCGCACCGCCGGCAGCGGGTCGCGACCCACCCCGCGGCAGAGGCGGCAGCGGGAGGCGGGGGCGACGAGCCACAAGCCGGCAGCGGGGCTGGGTGCGAGGCGTGCCCCCGCGGCTTCCAGCCGCCCTTCGGAAGGAGCAGCGTGCTCTGCGAGCGCTTTGCCACTTGTCAGAGAGGTTTTCAGGCGCGGGGCGGGAAGCGCCCCCCCTCCGCCTCCCGCTCCCCTCCCCGCTGCCGCCGCCGGAGGACTTGTTGCTCCCGCTCCACCTGCCTGCCGGCGCCCAGCAGCCGCGCCGCGCCAGGCGGGGAAGCCCGCAGGCGGCAGGCAGCCCGCGCTGCCCCGCATCCCCGCCCTCATCGGCATAATTTATTCACCTAGGCGGAGGGGCGGCCGGCGGGCCGCGGGGGGCTCTCTTCGCACAGTGTATGCACGGCGTGCAGGACATCAGACTCACAAATTAGGAGGGCGAGGGTCGCAGAGGCCGCGGGAGGGGGCTGCAAGGGGCGGCTGGCCGCGCCGGGGCAGCTCCGGAACACCGAGCAAATTTACAGCGGTTTATGGCTGGGCTGTCATGCCCACGCTGCGGGCATAAAGCACGGGAGTGCTCCGTTGTCCCGTTCTTTTTTTAGAGTGCGGAGGATAAACGTGTATAATTCACTGTCGCAGGCAGGCGACCCGAGGGCTCACTTCCAAAGGAGCAGCCTGCACTAGCTTCCTATTGTATTAAGGTTTAATTTTGGCCAGTTTTCTTTCTGCTTGTTTATTTACCAAGTTGCTTCTTCACTATTCCATGCACACTGTGAAGTTTTCATTGTGCCTGCTTTGGTTGACTAGAAAAGGAGCATCAACATCTAAAGAACTGCAGGTGTGGCCTGATGGGAATCTTGGTGGTTTCTGGTGCTTTCCTCTCTGCCTCTTACTGCCCAAATGTTGCATTGACCTGCTGTAGTTTGGTTCTCACCTTGGCATTACTGCAGTGCATCTCCTATAAGGCACTTTTGTGTGACATTTCTTCTGTTTGGGTACACTTTTTGAACTGGAGAAACTTCTCAAAGCAGGACCAGATGTTGAAAGAACACATAGCTCACCCGGTTTGGCATTTACATATGTGAACACTGACTATTACAAGATATGTGATGAAAAAGAGATTTGTCCAACTATGGCACTTCTCAGACGAGACCAAGAGTGTTGGTTTATACTGTGAATCAAATTTCCTTATGGAATCATATTTGTGCAGTTTTATTACCTATTGTTTCCCAAGTATTCAAGCAGTCACAACTGCCATGAAGACATGAATCCAAAAAAGCTCTGCGGGTTTCAGTCTCATTACTTAGACTTTTAATGAAGTGTACCAGAAGTTCATAGCCAGTCATTTATTCTTCATAATTTGTCTCTTCTTTCTAAACAAAAAGTTTTGTGTACTCTAGTCGGAGAGAAGAAACCATGATTACATAGCCCTAGGTGATAGTTTCTTCACAATAAGCAGTTAAGGGTTGCAAGGGAGAGTTTACAAACAAATTCCACCAAGCAGCACATACCTTATGGTCAGGACTTGGGAATAACAACTGCACTTTTCAAAACAAGGACTTGCTCACAGACTATCTGTCGGCAATAAGAAGCTGAAATAGTATTTGGAATTAATAAACTGACAGCAGAAAATAAGTAATACCGACATGCTCTTATTTGGCGCTCAGCATGGGCTCCCCGAGTATGGTCTGAGCAGTGCCCAGGCTGCCTCAGAGTGGCTGGCAGCACACGAGGCGCTGGAAGCCACTGGCGCCAGCTCCAGCGCTTCACATTACCCCCTGTTGTTAGTAGCCAGCACCATTACTCACCCCTGCTCGTGGTGACATCCAGCACAGTAACCCTGCAAACCCTCAGGATACCATTGCCATTTTCTGCAGGGGGTTAGCGAGGCGCCGCTGGGAGCAGGATGGCTGCCCGCGGCCCGCTGCTGCCTCACGGCAGCACTGCCTCACTTGTGGGGTGCAGCTGGGTGCTGCTCGTCTGGGCCAGGGTGACATCTCCTCCTGGGACCAGCTCTTCTTATTTCAGGGCAGATACAGACATCCCCTGGCTGCTTCAGTGCCACCCACATGGGTCACAGACAACCACATACCCATAGGTCAGCGTGACGTGGTTCGACGTTTTGCTTGGCCAAATGATGCAATCTTTCTGCCCAAGCATCTTTCTGTCCCAGCATCATGCCATCCATTCATTTTGGACAGGGCATATTCTGCATCAGAAATTTAATAGCCTGAGACAGGAAAGTCCCTTGTTACATTAGATTTGCACATACTTGCCATCATAAAGGTTGCCAAATGAGCCAGATTATCATGTTTCTATTGGTTACAGAGCAAAGCCATTTTCCTAATAAAAATTTCTATTCTATTCCTAAACTGAATAACAATCCCATGCTAGGTGTTTTTTATTCTGAAGAGGTATGATGGGAAACCTTTCTTTTTTCTGTCCGGGACAAACAGAAAAATCTGCCAAACTAGAATCAAAGTCCAAGCTGGGAAAGCAGAACTCTAAAATACCCAAGAAATTGTTTCCATGCTCTTTCTCACAATGGGTAACTATACTTCTACACAACTGGGAGAAATGCTAGTCTCAGGTCCGAAAAGAGATGAGGCTCATGCTCATGTGTACATGCGTCTGCTCAAATATATCCTCAGACAACGGGAAACACGATGAAGAAGAGTGAGAGGAGAAAGACCAGTGCCAAGTCTTCCTCCTTGCCCCAGCTTAAAGTTACATTTTTCTTTTTGCTAAAGCTTGGTTCTCAGAAAGATGTCAGCTAAAAGTTTGATAAAATGCTTATAAATTACTTGATAATGGCAGAGTTAGAAAACAAATTTTTTCCCATAGCTTTTTCCCTAATGTGTTTTCACCTAGAAATATATAACAGAGTTTTTGAAAATGCAAATTAGCAGTGTCCTCTGCTTGCAGCAAAAGCATGGTAATTTTCCTGATGGAGGCATTATTTATCCACTTCACGGCAAGGTTGGTCCAGAACAGATTGGAGTGGACTGCAGAATCCAAGCAGCAAGCTAAATTATGCACTGTCTGATTAAATCTAGCACAGGAGTTGTTTGTGTAGGCGAAGAACATAACACAGATGTTTTACCTGTTATAAAAATCTCCAGTCACGTCTGCCTGAGCTGAGAGCATTAAAGCAGCCATACCCTCCCATGCTCAGTTACTTGATACCATCAAGTGGACAACCAGCAGCTTTGCAGTACGTTTGTCCCATCTAAACACAATCAACCAGAGGAAAAAAGTGTTAAGGCACAGCATTCGCTGCTTTTGCCAGCTTTCCACAAGCGGGAGGCAGAGCGAATCCAGGACATGCATATGCTCAGTGCCAGTGAGCCTGCTTCTTATTTTGCAGCCATGATGATGCCAGAGTCAAGAAGGCATCTACTTAGGATCATGACTAAGATTAAAACCAGATTGCTGTAGCACTTTTGAGAATGCTATCCATGCAATGAAAGAACAGGGTTTCTTTTTTTTTTTTTTTTTCCTCTATCTTAAAACAAGCCACTATATTTTAAACGTTTTTTATTGGTGAAGATTTATAGGTCTTGAATTAGAGGGAGTAACTTGGTCTAACGAGTTAAACTTCTCTTCCAGGAGTAAACCAGACAGCACTTCATATGGGCAAGAAGTAATTTAACTGCTTGCTTTCAGGAACTCTATCTCAGATGTTGCTGTCACATTTAAGATATACCATGCAAGTTTAGGTAACAAAAAACTTAAAATGCTTTAAAAGCCTATTTTCTATCTGATAGCCAGAATACAGCAGCTTGAAATAATACCTGTACACCATGTATTTTGAGCTGGCCACTAACTCATACAGGTAGAGTGTAAGAAATGGCAAATCTGCAGCACTCCACCTCAAACAGTAGCAAAAGTAGGAGAATTTTAAGTAAGGTCTGCTTGAAGTTCTCATTTGCTGACCTGAGGCAGCTAATGCTTCCCACCAAGAGGGAAGTGCTCTTGCTTTGAAGATTCAAATCTCTAAAGGCCACGTTTCAGCAGATCTTGTATATGACCAGGCCAAAGGTATTGACACAAGATGCTACTGTTTGCATTTCACGGGTCTGTGTTTGAAGGTGTGTTTGCAGATAACAGTTTTCCACCAGACAGGACTAGTGTCTGGAGTTCTTTCCATATTTTTATGTCTACAGCATGATATATTCTGGCTGACCAATCCACAGTCCGTTACTGGATTTCTTTACCAGATACAACATAAACTCGTGACTAAAACAGATGTGTGAAAAACAAGCATTCATCTGCTGAAACAACAAGCCATGTTCAATTTGTGATATATATTGCATATATGATCAGGAAAGGCAGAAGGCAGGGAGTAAATACAAATAGGGACTGGAGTCTAGGACCTCGATTTACAGTTGAAGCAACACACACAAAGATAAATGCTTGAATGGTTAATAGTGGTTATGCAAACCCTTAGTCTGCAAAAGTTCCCGCTTTCAAACGGAGGTTATATATTATTCATTCTATGTGGAGCCAAATTGTATCTGCATTCTGCTTCTTTCTCCATTCATCTCTCTCCTGCTCTCTTCTGCCTTCAAATCTGAGTGCATCTTGCACCCTAAATGAGATTTTACTCAATTTTGGTTATTTATATAGGGAAAATGCAAGGTGGAAGCAGAATCCAGCACTTCTCTCACTTCTTAGCTTCCTGGCAGGTTAGGTAGTATGGTATTTCTCATCGACCTGCTCATAATATCTGCCAAGATAGCTCGGAATCACCAGAAAAACAACTTACTTCACTGTTTTTGAAAGGAAGTTGGAAAAGCCTTTCACTTTCAAATGTCCAAATTGATTGCCTTCTGTCACTTTAAATTTAATATAAGCACATA